CTTGTACATGCCTGGATCGAACCCGGTCCTACCGCGTGTGAAGCGGACGTCTTTCCCTTTGAGCTACTGGGGCATCGCTTTTCTAGTGGATCTCTTTCCTTAGTAATAATTCAGCCGGTAAACTGTAAGTTGGAAAGTTTGCTGTCGATTTTTCTCTAGCAAAAGCACTCCCGGGTCGAAGTCGGGAAGCACCACGCTTTGGAGACATTCGCACCTAGTAAAGAAATCGTACGCGTGCATATTCACCTCGAAGTAGACACGTCGTGCTTGACGTTTCAGCGAGCGATGTCTTCAGCCACGAGGAGGGAGCCACGGCTCGGCGACGTCTTCGTGCAAATCGGCTTGGTGGTCGGGCGTGTCGTACGGGATGAATACCAATTCTTTTGATCAGTCCCAAATTTCTCTTTTAACGATAGGCAGAATTCGCCGGTACCGCGAACGACAGTTCTGAAATAGAGGTCCCACGCCCGTCGTCCGCTGCCGTCGCCGTCCCCGCGAGTCCCACGATACGCGAAACGACGAACGCACAGAATGCTTCCGGTTGTCTGTGGAACTTTTTTTTTTTGTCAATCAACGTAATTGCAGCTTTTTAGAAGCCACAAAAAAATGGGTTTCATATTTTTTTCTATTTTTAATATTGAGTGTGTGCGCTCAGTGACCCACGACTTTGAGTAAATTTGGTGGTCGCATCGATACCTTAGAAAACGGCCCGTGACCGCGGAAAAGAGAGTGAGCGAGACTCGAACCGGCCAGTTCTTGATCAGCGGTTTTCGGGCGGAAAGAAACCGAATTTCGAGCCGCAAATTCTGTTCTGGGTAGTTGAGCTCTCATATGTCACGTACAACTAAAATCCTCGGCGAGCATAAATACCCTGTCAGTGTCCCTTTAAGGGTGGGGAAAAAGGGAGGAAAAGACGATTAACAAAATGATTAATATTGATAAGATGAAAAGAAATAAATAAAACACATGCTAGGGCGTCGAGGTATGACGGTGATGATTAAAGAAATAAGATTAAAGTTTTGGTTGAAATACTGAATGTAATTTTTGTAAGCTTTACGTTCATGTCCACATGCTAGACACGTATAGATAGCTAAATGTGCTCCATGTGATTTTCCCAACCAATTGAACCTATTGAAGACCACCAATCTAATGATCACATTCAGCTACAAGGTGGCGATATCCAGCAATTTTTGGGAAGCAGTATAAACTGATGTCTTTCTAATAAGACTTAACAACTGGAAATCACACTTGGAATCTGCAAATGATGTTCGTTGTAAGCAACGCAGTAAGTACAGCGAGGACCTCAAAAGACACACCCCGTTGACTAGACTAGAAGAAACATGACTTCTGGGTCATCTGACATGGACAAGCGATTGGGGCTTCAGCTCTAAAGCAGAGATCGCTATCTCGAGCCAGTATAATCCCGGTATGCGCCATTATTTCAGATGTATCTTTCTTCACTTCCCTCGTATACAGATAGCATACACTTCGGCGTCAAAGTCTGTGGCTTGGCGCAGGACAAGGATGGAGTTAGCGTAACCGTCGCCAACTGCCACTACACGTATCGGGTGAGTACTCTGTCATGGTGTCCGGATTGAGATTCCGACCGTTCTATCTACCGCGTCCTTATGTGTCCCCGCAATCGCCATGTGGGGATGAACGTGTGGATGCTGCTAATTTTACTTTGTCAAGGTTGGCGGCTTGGCTAGGGTTTTTTCGTCCGAAAAATAAAGAAAAATCTATGCTTATGGCATTTGGCTCAAGTCCAATAGAGATCGTGGATAATTTTAGAACAGTTGGTGTCTCTTTTTCGGAAAATATGTCTTGGGATAGCCATGTAAATCATTTGGTTTCCAGATTGTCATGTGTTGTTGGTTTACCATACCGCCACAGCCAAATTCTACCAGTTCGCGTTAGAATGATTCTTTACAATGCTTCGTTTTATTCGCCACTGAGGTACTGCAACCTTGTCTGGAACATAACCACGGCACCCAACCTAATCAAAACTTACCTGCTGAAAAAATGTTTTTAAATATTTTTATTTTTTCAGTTATTTTTAATGCACCTTATGAGATGACTCTCATCCTGAGACCATGTCTAGTAACTTTCAGATGTTAAAAATTCATGACCTGTCTGATTGCATACTTCTAATCACCATTAAGAATGAAAACAAAACGAGGACGTGTTCTTTTAAACGAGATGGCTGCATTAGAGAGAGAGAGAAAGAGAGAGAGAGAAAATAAAACGAACGGTTTTCTTGACCCGTCAAATGAATATTTGGAAGGTTCCCACATCAAATTATGATCAAGTTATGGGCAGCAAATGCTTTGGTATTTATATCCTAAGTCTCTAAACAACTTTGGAGCAAAAAAAAAAACAGAAATTTAGAAACAATGTTTCGTTAAAGAGTTGCGCAGCATCTTTTTACGTATTATAATTTTACGTGTCTCGTATCTGCCATTCACTTTGTTAATATATAATCTTCCGTTTACGATTGTTCTTTGTTTTCAATGCCCGAAAACTGTCGTTCAATGGCTGCCGATGGGGCTGAGTGCGAGTCAAACTTCTCCTTGAAGCTTTTTTTTTTCCCGTTTTGCTTTGCCATTTTTTTATATAAATGGAAATAAAGGTTTATTTATTTATTAATTATTAATATTATTACGTCACACCCGTTGTCCGCCGCGATCCTATAGTGGTGACATAACAGCGTAGGTGAACGTGGCCATGTGCAGTTGCAGTGCAGCCAGCGCTCACCAGTTTTCACTTCAAGAACCGCAAAAAAAAAAACAAAAAAAAAGTCCCGCTTTTTGCGGAACATTACTAATTGTTCCCTTTTGTGGAGGATTAAGATATATGTAAGGACTTTTTAGAATAGATCAATATGTTATCTTACCGAGACCTACGCTTGAAACGCCCAAAAGCATCACTTCTTCCTTCGTCAACCAAATCTTGTAATAACTATACATTGCGCACCGCATGAACAATGCGCAAAGCTTACTTTTTTTCTTGAGGTTAAAACGGGTTTAGTCGACAGGAACTCAAGCGTGCCACATATGTTGGGAAGCCGCGGTGACAGCGACGCCTATGCGTTCTTTACTCTCCGAGACTTTTGACGACGTACTTCCATTAAAAATCCGAGCGTAGCGGACGACGACCCGATAGATCCAATCAAGCTGCACCAGAATCGCATCATTACGGCGCCCGTCGTCTTTGGGCGCTTGCTATTCCCCAGCCGAACCAATCACGCACAGTGAATGCCCCGTGATCTTTTTTTTCTCTGCGTGATTGGTTTAGCTGGGGATCGAAAACGCGCACAGACGACGATCGCCTAACGTCAACGTTACTAAAACACTCAGTTGGGAAACTCACCCTCGAAGCCCGGACCGCTCGCATCCACAGGGACCAAACTAAATACGATAACAGAGCCACCCTTTAGCGACTACTCAAAACATGAAAGTTCATTTATAATGTTACTGCGAAATGGCACTGCGAGATGGCGCCACAGGCCCTTGCGCGACTCGACATGAACCGATACGTGCAGCATGGCTACGGCATGCCCTCCCGAAGCGCGCGCGCCTTCGCGCGCTTCAGGATCTCGGAGGCCATACGTGCAGACGTGTAGTTCCAGGAGTGGCCGCTACGGGAGAAATGGCAGCGTTGCGATATCTATTAGTTCGGTTCTCGAGTACGGATCGAAGCCACTTTTTTTAAAGCAGGCTCATTGGCAGTTTCCTAACTGAGTTGTTCTAGTAACGTTGGCTAACGTCGACTGCGATCGGACTTAATGTGAAACAGGGAATAGCTTTATTTTGAAAAGACTAGTAAGCCTGGGAAGATTTCACGTTTGTCCCGGCTCCCCGAGGAATGAAGATCTACCTGTGTTTGGAGATTAGTGTGTGTCCTTTTTCCCCCTTGTTCCCCTTCTCCAGGGATTATTATCGTCATTCTCGTCCAGCTCGCTTGCATCTTTGCATTAATTGCATTATCATGATAACCTTAAAATGCAAGCCGTTCACCCTTGTTCGTGTTAGAGTGGTGGCAGGCGATATAACCCGTCTGCTCTACTGACGTCTAATTTCTGGTTAGCTCATTTGGGAGAGCGCTCCATTGAAAATGTAGAAGTCCCTCGTTCAATACCAGGACCAAAAGGATTTTTTTCGGTCGCGCACCAGTCACCTAGCTGTGTTTGGAGCTTTGTGTTTGTTTTTTGTCCGCCTTGTTCCCCTTCTCCAGGGATTATTATCGTCATTCTTGTCCAGCTCGCTTGCGCCTTTGCATTGATTGCATTATCACCAAGATCTAAGAAACTATTATTATTCGCGAGTCTACCCGAGCCAACTTCTTTTTTGTACGTCTCGTTCCTCGGGAGATCACAGACATTCCCAGAAACGTAACTTCGATTTCACCTTCTACGCCGCTACGAAGACAAACTAAGTAGGATAGGCCAAAGTCAACAAAACCGACAGCAACAAACAAGAGAATCAAGAGTGAGAAAGAAAGCGAACGAGCTGGCTGAAGTTGGATGCACTAAAATCCGCAATACGGGACGACACGAAAAATTATCAAATAATAAAATAAAAAAGAATAAAACTAGCTGACATAACACCCTAGCCATAGGCGTAGACTTCGGGGGGGAGGGGGGAAGGGTCATCGGGGCTCGTGTTCCCTCTGGTGAGATCCGAAAGAAAAAGGGTGGGGGGCAGAACCCCCCCCCCCCCCCCCCCCCGGGGCCCGGGCCATGATTCTTACCGAGACGCTGTTTACGTGCCATGTAACGAGCCTCTAGTAGTGACATGTAAACAAAATAACGCCCATGTTGCCTTTATTGACCAAATACATGGGAAGTGGAATCCCAACGCGCTTTCGTTACCTTCAATCTCCAGTTCTGGCGAAAAAGTAACGCGTAGCCCCCCCCCCCCCCCCCCCCCCCCCCCCCGGGAAAATTAAAAGTCTACGCCGCTGACCTTAGCAAAATCAGAGAGCTTACTTACTCTACCAAAATGCTAATGAGGAACCATCCCTTGACGGATTTAAGCGGGGGTACGGTTATTGCTTATATTTCCAACGATGTGTACGAAGTGAGTTATCTACAATGGCCGATTCTGCTTCCTTCTGTTAACTGTACACGAACGAAACTTTTTACAGGCTGAGTACGTCATTATGACAGCCCCCTTACCAATGCAGCTTCAGATACACTACGATCCTCCTCTGACCGCTCCGCGAAGCATGCTTATCCGAAGCTCCAGAGCAGGCCGCGCCATCAAGATAATCATATTCTACAAACGTCCATTCTGGAGGTACAAGGGTAAGTCACGGACGCGTGAAAATAAAATAAAATGTTTTCACTACGGAAATAGACATGGAAATGTGTGTAATTAGGTACCCGGAGTTCAAGTTGGTTTAACTTTACCTTAGTTTTCTTTAGAGTGACTATAGTCGATGACAGGTCAAGAACGAAGGGGACGTTCCTCCCACCTCTTCCCACTTTAGCAGAGCGAACGCTGGAGAGGAGGTGGCCTCCTCTCCAGCATTCGCTCTGCTAAAGTGGAAAGAGGTGGGAGGAGCTTCCACTCCGTTCTTGACCTGTCACAGACTATACGAAGCTAGATAGTCCCTGTGCTTCAATATACAGGGTGTTTCCCGAAACACGATTCAAATCACTCCTGCAAAAAAGCAACGCAAAAAAGAGGGTTTATCTCGTATTCATTTATGCAAAATGACCCACATAGGAAAAGTACTAACGTTCGGTAACACTAGTTTCTTACTTAATTTTGAGCAACTAAATTTAATTAGCAAGTTTAAGGGTATGGTTTTAATTCGACATTTTCTGTGAATAATTGAAAACCATTAAATCAGTGCACTTTACAAACAAATACGGCACGGGGAGCATTCTACTGCGTTCCCAAAAACACTTAATTTTGAAATGTCGCTTTCTCACCAAAAAGCATCCCCGCGCCAGAGGTCCTGCTCTCCTGTGGCCAAAGCGCGCAACTAATGTTCGGCGCCACGTTGGCCACGCATTCTTCGTATGCTGGAGGTAAACACAAGATTCAAAAGCTTACTATTGTATCGTGCTTTGAACATGCACAGCTTTGCCCTTCGCCAGATGGCGCCACAACTCCTTCTGTCCTGAGGGAAGAGAGGCGGAAGTCGCGTGCTTTGGCAATGGGTAGCACCGGTGGCGCAAAGATACGATCCCTTACGAAACCGAAACCTAGAAACGCGTCCAAATTGAGTTCCTTCAATTTTTCAGGGGACCTTGAGGCCTTAACTTTAAAAGGTTGCGTGCTCGTGCCACGGCAGGAATATATATCTACACACCTTATCCTTGTTCACTCACCATACCCAAAAAGGTGCGACGCCAATGGCACGCTTGTGCGTGTAGTCTTGTCAATCTGAAACTGTTGCTGTTAGTGTTGAGGGACCACGTCTTCGCTGTTTGTTACTATTTACCGTATACTTGTAGCACGAGCACGCATTTATGAATGGAGCTTCAACATTCGTTGATGGTGCCAGGTGCACTATAACTCCTTGATTTGTGCATAAGAGCAATAATTGATCAGAGGCCTTCTTCCAGGCTACAGCGGGCAGGTGACCAGCGGCGATAGCCAACTGTGCTTCAACGAAGTTCTTGACGACTGTCATCCCAAACGGCCCTTGGCAGCGCTCACGGTGTAAGCAAAATAAAATCTATTGGTAAAGGCGCGAGTTCTGAGCAGATAGTGCTTCAGAGTTATATCCCTCAGACCTAGGCTATGCGGAGCTTAAGTTCGTCGGCTTCTTTTGTGGGGGATATATACCTCAAAGCAAGCTGACTTGTGGTCTACCCACTATCCCTCAATCACAGCCAATCAGAGCTCGGCCTTCTGACGACACCACAACCCCTGCAAAAAAAGCAGACGAACTAGCGCTCCGCATAAGCGACGTAGAAATGATGTGTGGTTCATACAGAATGACGATTATAATTAATTCGATTGATCATATAAGACACCTAGTTGTAGTAATATTTTCCATAACTGCTTCACCTCTTCTCTTTGACAAAACCCCAATCACGTGCTCAGTCACGCTCGTTTCCATGCATATTTCTTCCTCTAAAACGAAGCGACAATAGTTTCTTCGGCAAGTGTTAATAAATAGACGAAAAATATAGGCTCTCGTTCTGAAAACTGCGACTAACACATGTGTAAGAAAGTGGGGGAAAAGAGCTACTGAAATGCAACAAAAAAATGTGCGACGGTAACTGGTACGGCCTGGCGACTTAAGGGGAAAACAGGAAACCGGATGGTATTAAAAATCTCACATAAAATCAGTAATTGAAGTTACGAATATATGCATAAAGAGAGGACAAAGTGGATTGGTCTAGAAAAGTACCCGGGCCTTCCACTCCACCGTCATCTGAGGAGCGCAATATATATATATATATATATATATATATTTTTTTTTAATTTTCACACGTTGTGCACTTTTGGGCGGAAGGACAGTATACGGTGGAATTAAAAAATAAATTATGTCATTTATTTTTAGCCGGAGACCTTCGCAGGGTCAGAGGGCCATGGGCAAATCTGCTTTGTTTCAATTGAAATCGTCGAAATCCTGGCATTTTTAACCTTCTGAAAACACAAACATTCCCATAAAAAAGAACGCGAAAGTTGGGGTCATGAGAAGATAACTTTCTACAGAAAACGAGGGCACTAGTTGAAAGAAAAAAGAAAGACCACAGCAGTAGATAAGCTACGAATACTCCTTTTTCTGTGTTTTTTGCCCAGAAAGCCTTTTGCGTCCGACTTACTTTCAACAGCCTTTCGTTACCTCTTGGGTCGTCTTCGCGGGCCTCATTCGTTTATAGCTTTTTAATTATTAAAGAACTCAGTGAGCCGTACCAATTTGTCGCAGAATTTACCCTAATAAGAACCAAGCAGCAAAAAGGAACTGCTCACACAGTGCTTTCAGTTATGCTCTTGACAATGGTACCCATAAATATAAGCAAAATAGAGATATCTGCTAACATTTTTCTCCCTACAACCTTCTTCTCTTTTCTTTTTTTTTTTTCGCAGTTTCGCCGTTGGCGACAACGCACTAAAGCTTCAAAAACTGCCAGTTGAAGCAAGGATGATGCAGATATCTAGAGACTTGGCACGTGTGTTCCAAAGCGATGCGGCCTATCACGTACGTTAACGATATACGGCTACGATTCATGTCTGCAACTTCTCCGATGTACCCAACCCTTATTTCAGTATGCTCACTACGAGGAGAAAAACTGGTTCCAGGACCGGTACTTCGGGGGTGGCTACGCTTCTGTATTTCCTGCAGGCGCAACGACAAAATACGGAAAGTGAGGCTCGTAAGATATTTTTTAGTTTGAATGAAGAGGTTTCTTGCAGTACTCGCTTGTTTACGAGCTGTCTTGATGCAGGGTCCTCCGGCAGCCCTTTCACAGGGTCTACTTTGCGGGAACCGAAACTGCAACGTCATGGCCGGGTACCATGAACGGTGCAGTGCAGGCCGGAGAGAGGGCCGCCAGAGAGGTGACCAGTTTCTTGCACCTTATATTTGCGAGACTTTGCGCGGTTTTCAGTCACGGTTTCCTCCCACCAATAGGTTCCTGCCATTGCTATACAGGGTGTTCGACGAAAGGTGGAACACCCTGTATAGGGTGTTCCACCTTTCGCTTCGATTGCAAACCGATACTTAAAAACCCGTCGAAGTTGTTCGGTTTTTCAGAAAGCCGTAAAATACCGCGCGTGCCTTCTATCGTTCTGCAACTTGTTCATTTAGTGTTTTTGATGATGCTCAACAAGATTCTAATTGAAACTATGCCCTTAAACTCAACATATAGAACAGGGGTGGCCAGGCTGGCCTGGCCTAAGAGCCGCAAACAAAACCGCGGAACTTCCAAGGGCCGCGGGAGGGGGGGGGGGGGGGGGGGGGGGGAGTGCAAACTTGACTTTTGTATAAAGTTTGCCAGTGCGTATGGGAGCACAAGGATGTAGGACTGTACGTATGGGAGTACAAGGCTGCCGAACTGCAAGCAGCAGTGTGCTTTATTCTGAAGTCTTTTCTTTTTTTTTCCTGGGGAAACGCGGAAAGTGGCGAAAGGGGGGGGGGGGGGGGGAGGGGGGGTCCTCTTACGAGGGATCCACGAGCCGCACTTGGACCAGCAAAGAGCCGCATGCGGCTCGCGAGCCGCGGTTTGGCCACCCCTGATATAGAAACTTAATTACGCGACAATATTTAACAACTCAATTACCCCGAACTTCAATCATTTTCCTAAATAGGCCCCTGGCTAGAACCAAAACGACACAAGCCTTCCTTTTTTTTTTCTTTTTTCTTTTTTTTTTTTGTGCTATGCGTAGTTTTCGCAATATTGAATTTGTCCACTTTTCGTGAAAAACTTTGTAGATATACAATTATAGTAACACTTTGATGGTATCTTTGTAACACCTGTATATGTTAGATATTCCTTAGCCTTTCATTGCTGCACGTTTCAGGTCCTGTGCGACATGAAATTGATAAAAGAAGATGAAGTATGGGCCGACGAAGAGGAATTTAAAGTAAGATTGTTTTTCTCTGAGGGTAAACGTAAACTCTTGACTAGAAATAAATGCGTTCCAAAAAAAACGCAATCGCGGGCAATAAATGCCCGCGATTGCGTTCCAAAAGGATGCTTTTTGGATGCTTTTGGAACGAAATCGTGACATTTCTACAGTTGCGTTCGTGTATCCACAAATATCACTCTAGTAAAATGCAGGGAAAAATCGATCCCAGGGTACATGATTGCAAACGTGAATCAGCACACCCGTGAAGTACTGCCATTGGCAAAATAAACTTGAATTAACGAGGGGAACACACCACGAATACTGGTTGCAGGTGCGTCAAATTCTAAGCCAATCGATATCCACTTTCGTTACGGCCAAACGCCGCAACTAGGTCACAGACGAACACGCTTGTCAACAGGTTGCAGGAAAGCTGATTTTGTTGCGCCGAATAGCAGTGTGGGTTCTTTCTTGGATAAGCGGATCCAGGCCCAAAAGCCCCTCCATATAAATTCAAGCTTCGCATTTCTTCATTTCTCGAAGGGTGCCTTTATGCTCACATGAACATACATTGCCATCCGACTTCATGCTTGACAGTCGTTCGTTTTTCGATACTACACTGAACATTTGGTCCGCGTCATATCCTTGGGCTGAACTGGAGAGAGCGTATACGAAGACAACAATAATAATAATTTATACAGCCTAGAACTTGGTCTGCCTCAACGGGCGACGGGTCTCCCAGCTGTAGATGAGCAATTTAGCCAGTACGGTACAACCGCTAGCCTAGGGTCTTTAACGTGCATCACGCAGTAGTGATACACGACCGCACGCCGGTACGATGCTCATCCAGATCGAAACGGACAGGGGTGGGGCTCGAACCAAGAATCCCTGGGTTCTGCAGCGCGAGCTTTCGTTCCACGTGCTCCGAGCTGGTGCGCGCTAGAGTGCCTCAATGTTGCTGGCTAAGGCGCAGTCGGCAAGCAACATTGAGGCACTCTAGTGCGCGCTAGACCGACCCCCCCCCCCCCCCCTTCCCCCTCCCTCCCTCCCTCCCTCCCTCTCCCCCCCCTCCCCCCGAAGAGAACAAAACCATAGCACATAGGTGTAAAATAAATGGGAACCGTAGCAACCGCGACATAACGATATCCATTCGGAACTGTAGCCGTCGCGGTTGCGTATCTTTACCGTGAATAGAGAGTTTAAGTAGATCGTTCCGATGGCTCCGATAACGATATGCGACGACGAAAGGATGCATATGAAAAGACGTAGGAGAGGTATCAGATGTCGTTATCGGGGTTATGGGAATTAACTGTCTACTAAAACTTCCAAATTAACTGAATGAATAAATTGCTTGGCTAAATGTCAATTTGTGATTTTGACTGCTGGTGTGTTTGCCGATTTGTTGTTTTTATTTTGTTGCAAATTTGCTATTGTGTCAATATTTTCATTCCTGATGTCATAGGAACTTCTTCCGAGTCACACGCATATTTTCAATCTATAAGTTGATATCTTGTATAGATGTGTTGTTTTGTCTGTTTGTATTGTCTTCCCCCTTACAATAATGCCCTGACAAGGGCGATGTAGGTAATGGAATAAATAAATAAATAAATAGTTTTGATGCAACGTGCAGTAGCAAGACAACTGCACCGTGCCATAGGAAAACCGCAACGTACGGTTCTCTTGTGAACGGACATGCTATGGTATGGCTTGATGGAGAATTTTAAGGTTCCATGTATTAGTGTTGCGTTTTTTTTTTGGTTTTTTTTTTCCCCAATTTTGGGTATGTTTTTTTTTCGGTGTCTATATTTTAGATTCGGAATTTTTCGGTGTAAATTTTCGGTCAAAATCATTTGACGTTTATTGTAGCTTCTGTTGAAGAGAACGGAATCGCGGGCATGGGATTGTCCAACCTCCAAGGAATAAGCGCGTAACCCTAGAAAATGTACCGCTACAGATAGGAGAAAGAAATAAGGTTCCCGAAGGAAGAAATAGTCATTCAGATAGTTACGAACACATGAAAGGATAAAATATCGAGGACAGGGACGGAAACAGGACCTTTCATTGAGCAACAACATAGAATGACACAAAATATAAAACCGCCCCCAAAGGTTTCAACGTTCTCGAGAAAGGAAAGGAGAAAATTGGTGAAGGAAAGGGAAAATTACTATAAATCTAAACGTTTAAAAAGCACTAGCGTCACGATGAGGTATCAGTAATCCAGTCAACCCTGGTGTTAGGAATTCGACCCGTCTTTGTCAGTGATAATGAAGGTGTAGAAATATTGTTGTTGATAGTCCCAGGGGAGATTGAACTATACTTTGCCTTATCCTACGATGGACTAAAGTCAAAAGCCACGGGCCCCCAGGTTCAATCACGCTCTACGTTAACCTATGACATGCTTAACACTGATAAGGGGTAAACGAATAATGCTCCGAATCAAGAAGAGCTGCATCATTTCTAGAGCTTCAACACTGCAAGGAGCCTGTATGTTGTGACTTTTTTTGCAATCTAAGCTTGATAAATTACTCAGTGCTCTTCGATTGAACCCCTGTCCCCCCGTCCCCATCAGTGGTCCGAGACGCGGGCACCGATAAGTGCACCGAAGCGAAATACTACGCATTTCTAAGTGGCTCGTGATTGGATCTGTCGGTCCGTAGGGTGAGAAAGGTATATCAACTTAAAAGTTTAAAAAGCACTAGCGTCACGATGAGGAATCAATAATCTAGTCATCTCTGGTGTTGGGAGTTCGACCTCTGCCTTTGTCAGTGATAACGAAGGTGAAGAAATGTTGTTGACAGTCCCCATAAAAAATGATTCAATGATTTCTCTCCCAAATCTGTTATTGTGCCCGCCTAGTATTCTGGTATCAGAGAAATAAGGAGTACAGTCATCGCACGCGCGACTTTGAACTACAAATGGGTGAAAAGATTTTTTTGAAGACTTTGATACTTCCAAGTTGTGTTCTCTGAGTCGATGGTTAACGCATCCCCCACTTTGTCCGATGTACTGACTGCCTCAGCTTAGTGGAATTGAAAAAGACTTTTTTTTTTTTCGCACTCTACGAACTTTTTGGCATGTTTAACATTGACCCTCAGGACTGTCGCTTTCATTTAAATATATATATATATATACTCGTGTCGAACTTGGACGCGATATATCTTAAACGGTGCGCGGAATTGTCCATGGGAATCACAGCGAAACGACTTCTCTTTTTGGCAACAGCCTGCGGAAGTAGTGGCCTGTGAATGAATTTCTCAAGGATGGAACCAAGTAGGTCCGCAGGAAAGCTTGCTTTTTTCAACCTCTCATGCTGCAACTTGAGGCTACTTTCGGAGAAGTGCGTACACGATTTGGAGGATGGAAACTTGAAAAGCGATCTCACTATGCCATGCTTAACTGACTTGGTGAGCACATGGTGAAAGGAAGGACTGGCTTCTCCGGTCTCTACTGGAAGCCCAACAACGACCTGAGGAACGACGATGTAACCGTAAACTCAGAAATGTTTATTCTTTCTTGGAAGGATTTTTCCGCTTAAACGTTAGCCCCGCTGCACAGCGGACTAACTTTTACTTCAATTCTCCAATTCAATGTTTTTCGGTTTTCCCCGATTTTGATGAAACTGACTTGGGGGATAGTTTCCAGGTTTATCGGTCGGTGTACGCCACAAACACCAAACCCAAATGTAACCTTATGTTGTTGTTGCTGTTTTTTCTTTTCTTTCTTAGAGCGTACCAACAGTGTCTTTCGAGCGGAGTTTCATAGAACGTCACCCTCCGTCAGTGGGCTGCGCTGGGTCTACCATGATCCTCGCTTTGTTGCTGCTCATCTGGGCGTTCGTTCAGCTTTGCCTCATGCGCCAACAGATCTTTTCTTGAGAGCGGACGTCATTCGCTAATACTTGATTTCGCATGCGTAATCAAGAAAATGCACTGGCACTGACTCGTTCAGTTTGACTCAGTCCCGATTGGCTGCATGCTCCCAGCTCCTGATTGGCTTCAGGAACTGGGAGCCTGCGTACCACGCGTGACCATCTACTCCGTGCAACACGGAGCCGGTTGCATGCAACGTCACGCTGCTGCTAATTTTCATTCGCGACTCCCCAGGTGAACGTAATAAAAGTTTCGTTATTCGCAGAGGCGATCTTACGTGTCAGGGCATTGCTGCAGACAGAGAACGCACCGAGCATTAACTGGTGCACGATCGTATAGCTCATACTTCGGGTTGCTAAGTCTCTCGCAAGTCAGAGAGAGGAAGCTGTTTCTTGAGCAAAGGTGAAGAGGCGATCCCGTAGGCTAAACATTTACCTCGTTGAGTAGGACTACACTGCGCCACCGCGTAATCTGCAGTCATTTAACACTCACATCATCCCAAAACATTTCGTTCCATGCCTGATATGAGGTGGTATATGAAATCTCCCTGGAATAAAAAAGTATCGTGATAAAACGTCTTGGAATAAAATGTCTTTGATATGAAGCTTCCGCGGATGAACTTTCCTGGGATGATGTGACCTGGCATGACGTGTGGTGTCAAAGTGGTTGTCTGACCCTTCTTTGTGGTGCGGTTTGCGCATGACGCATCAGTCCTGTTGCCTTGGTGCCACCGCGAACGCTGTACCCTGGAGAAGAAAAAAAAAAAAATAGAGCAATGTTGACGGCGCAAGACGCGATTTAGTTTAGTCGGTAGTCACTTCCTTTCCACTTATTTTCTCTCTTGGCATTTCGGGCGCGTGGAGGAGAGGTGGATCGGCTTGGCCATCACGTTGAGGTGGAGAGGGTGTATGACCATCTCCTTGAGGTGGAACGAGGGCATGACAATTCCGTGACGTCATGGACTTTGTGCGCAGAATTTAAAATAAATCTCGCGCTGTGAAAATTGCTCTAATCTTTTTTTTTCCTGTAAAATTTATTTTGTGACACGTGTACCAACCAGATTTTTTTTTTTCAGGGGCCCTTTAAGTTTAGACGCAGCCGACGCCACGAGCTGATGGGTCCAATCAAGCAGTGTCAAAATCGCAAGTCACTGGACTTTTTCTGTTTATGACTGGTTCAGCGATGATAGAACACGTACAGATCAACTTGACGAAAGCCATGACGGTGCGCTTTTGACGCTGATTGGTCCCATCAGCTCGAAGCGCTGGATTTCCTACGTCGGCTACTGGAGACCAGTGTGGTACACAGGTTGGATAAGACTGCTGCGTCAGTGTCCGGCTGGGACTCGTCCAATCAGCGACGAGCCCCGGCCTATTGTGTGCCTCGCGTTGGCCTCCGGATGGTGACGTAGAAAACCCAGTACTACGGCCTTGTTATCTACACTCGTTATCACCTCAAGTAAAATGTTTTGCGCATTCTTCATACACCGCGCGAAGTAGTTCCTACATTTGGTTGTCGGAGGAAG